CCAAAAATGTCTCGCAATCCGAAAGTGGCGGGTTCCTCGGGCCATTCGAAGCGACTTTTTCCTTTACAAAAATTTTCTCCGAGGCACCGTTAACGAGTTATTAACGAAAAACGGTGACCAATGAGAGGCGAGCTCGGCTGGCGCGAGGCGATCGAGCCAATGAGCGGAACTGGGCTTCGCGCGCTGGTTGGCTGGGCCGCCTCGCGTCAGCCGTGCTCGATTCTTATTGGTCACTGTTTTTCGTTAATAACTCGTTAACGGTGCCTCGGAGAACATTTTTGCAAAGGAAGAAGTTGCTTCAAATGATCCGAGGAACCCGCCATTTCCGGATTGCGAGACATTTTTGGGACATCCTGTAGACTGTTGTAAATCGATGCGAAGACAAAAGAAGCGTGAAACAATGCATATGAAGACGATTATTTGGTTCAAACGATGAGCGAGTGAGCTGCTAGAGCAAGCCACTATAGGGGCGCATCGTGCCTAGAAGGTTAAATACGAGATGGAAATGAAAGATTGGTTGCTCACCGAGGAAAAACTTGCGGCCGAGACGGTCCATTCCCAAAACAGCGACGATATTTGCGGGAATAGCGGAGGCTACAGTGATTAGAGATTCCAAGAAAACGGAGGCACCGATCTTATCCGAGCAGAGGTTCTCGATTTTCTGAGCACCCTTTTGAACCACGTAATCGGTCACCTCGCACGTCGACGCGACCACGCCGTCGTGGTCACGATGGAATTCGTCGAAACGATTGAACAGCTCGGGGAACCACATCATCAGACCGTAATAACCGATGTGGAAGGTGAAGTTGATGATGATCGAGATTATGGTGAAGCGAAGAATCGGCGAGACGAATAGTTGCCTGCTGTTCTCCACAATGTCACCAAGCATTGTTTTACATTTGTTCTTCTCGGCGCCGACCTTCACCGGTTCTGGCTCGTGGAAGCCATCGAGTATCAATTCTTTTACCTGCGTATACACATTAGAGCAATATAAATGTTAAGAACACCGACAGTACGGATAACAATTACTTCGCATAAGTAACAGCAGACAGCGCGGAAGATTTTTGTTAACATTTTGCACTCGAACCTATTTTAACTTCAAAACTAAGATACTTCTAGTATAGTATTTTGATGTATTAGTTATATTTGTATCGCATCTTAATATTGCAATTTAATAATGTAAAAAGTACTTGAAAAAAATGATGCAGCAACTTTTAGTGATGCTTTAGGGACGCTATTCCAGTGCAAAAGGTTAATATCGGTTAACGCAGCCGACAACTGTTCGCAATTTCTTCTGCAGCTTCTTCTGATTTCTAAGATACTTCAACAGTTGCTGCAAGGCTCCGACATCTCCAGTTAAGGTGCAAAGTTTGATGTTCGTTATTCTTTGATTCTTTTATGTGTATACGTATGTACTTACCGTGTAGCTTTCACGGGGTTTGCCAGTGTTAATGGCATAGATCCTGCGGAAGATGTCGAGCGCCTCCTCGTATTTTCCGCAGGATAAGAGGTATTTAGGGGATTCAGGGAGCAGCAGGAGCAGCCCCGCGACGATAAACGACGGAGCAGCGCAGATCAGCAGGAAGATTCGCCAGGAGTTATATGTGAACGTTGCACTCACAAAGCCGATTTCATTAGGGATGATCAACCATGCTAGGCCTACACGAAAATGGTCAGACTTATTTTACGTGTACAATGACCGAACCCCAATGAGAACGTTTCACAATTTGTCAGCAGTAGCGAACACTAGTGTCATGTATTGGCTTGGCAACTAATGGGGCAACTATTGGGTTGGCCTTACAAACTGCAGTTTCGAGATGCACTTTACATTCATCGGATCGATAATATTTACTTTGTTATTTAGGCGGTGCTATTTGCTCGCGAAACATGCGAAAAGTGAACGATCCGAAGGTTTATTTTTGTAATAAAAAAACATTCTATTATCTAAAACATTTCGTTTGGGTTCTCTATTAGGTAACAATGTATCTAAAATAATACGATGATCAGATAATGGAATGTTTGTGTGCCAGAATATTGTAAAAACAATTGTGCTCGATAATAATTGGAATCGACCGAATAATTCTTTCCCCGATTCAACCGTTACTTATGTTAACCAGAGGAATAATAACAATAATTTTGGTAGCAGTATCGGTACCAAATAATATTTTCACTCGGAAATATTAAAGATAAGAACATACAATTGACAAAAATTGCCGAGTTAACGAAGAAATGATTTGTTTTTTTCTTGGACATATCGAAATACAGATTATAGAGAAGAATTAAATTCGATTCTGTCTTCGAAACCGATGACGGTTTTGAGAAAATTGAGTTTGAACTTTCGCGAAGCACGCGTGCGTTAGTACAAGATCAGACTTTCTACGAGCGTGGAGTTTTCAAGTTGTCGGAGAGATGGTAAAAGGTCATCGAACAAAATGGAAAATACATTACAGATTAAACTTCGTTCCAAGTAAAAAAAATTCTTTTATTTCATTGAACAAATCGGCAATTACTTAGTTGCC